ACTTAATTTGAGTTTGAACCAGCAGCGAATCTTAATATTTGAATTTGAAAGGGCCAATTAAAATTATATTTTTTTATGTATTTTATTATATTTAATATAATATATATGCAAGCAACATATTAATAAATAATAACAATCTCATATAATTATAAGTTCTATCAATTTATAAATAAAAATATAAAAATACATCAAATAAATAATTTAAAATTAAAAATATATAAATAAATAAATTGTTAAAGTCAATCAATATATTTTTAATGAAAACAAGAAAAATAATATATATTTTTAAAAGAATGAAATTGAAACCTTTATTACAAGAAAGGTCAAGATAGGAAAAGGGAAATTACTAGCTTTACAAGAATTTATCTTCTAAGAAAAGTGGATGAACTATTTAGATTAAATTTTCAGTTCAATGAAATTAAAAAATTGAAATTACATATTATGGTGTTCTTCCAATCTTTTAAAAAATGATGGTGATAAAAAATTGCAGGACATATAACACAAAAGTTTCAAAATTACCCAACCATATAATGAAAAGAAACTTATGAATATATATATATATATATATATGTGAATATATATAAATATTATGAAATAAATCTTATAATCAACTTGTTTGTGACCCGTGCATCCGCACGTATTAGCTTTATTTATTTTTATTATTTAATTTATATGTGTAAAATATATATAATATTTATAATAGTTAATTTACAACATATCTTGACTTGATTTGTCAAAATTGAAATAATTACAAGTTGATAGAAATGTTAATTAAAAAATCAACTACTAAAAAAAGATAGTAATAGAAATAGTAATAAAAAAGCTATATATTTCTTTCATTTTCATTGTCCAATTTTTATTTAATATAAAGATAATAAAAACATGATAAAAAAAATTAAAAAAAATTATTTGTCCAAAAAATAAAAAATTATTGATTCTTGACTTGCCAATTCAATATCAACATAAAGCAAAAAAACATTAAACATTAAATATTATATTCAATATAATTAAATTAAATATTAAAGAGATACTATCAATTATAATTCAATTACAGAGCATATTGACAATTATAGATTGATAGACTTATTTTTTAAAATTTATTTGCCGAAAGGTAAAATTAGATTTTGTTTTGTTTATTTTCTTAATTTATTAGATATATTTATTTGTTTTCATTATTTTCATTTATACTCCTTTATTAGTCCATTCTATTCACCTTTTTTTTTTTTTAAGAAATAAAACTTTTCCAAAATGATATTAAAAATTTAAAGAGCTATGATAATTAATAATTTGCACTAAAACGCAAAAAAAGTTCAAATTGTATACTTTTAAAATCTTTTTTATTATCTTATATTTCATATTCAAATTCATAATATCCTTTGCTTTCTTCAAAAGTTTTTTAATATATAATTTATTTAATTTTACAATCCTACATAATCATCACAATTGAAAAAGATAAATAAGAAAATATAATTATTTATAAAGATAAACGTGGAGGCTTGATTCAAAATGATCTTTTAATATTTAGCATATACTACATATAATATTGAAATAGTAATATTGACCAATGAAATTTAAAGTAATGATTTTGATAAGGACATCATTGTGATAATTAAACAGTCTAATCAATTTCTAACTAAATACTCAATTAAAATAAAAATATATAAATAGAATGTAAATTAAAAAGAATTATACTAAAATAAACTTTTACAATACCAAAAGCAAATTGGAAAATAAAATTAGAAAAGAAAAGTCATGGTTTTTTATTTAAATAATATAATTTCATTATAATCTTAAATTCTCTTTAAGGACAACCAAATAAAAAAGCAAAAAGAAAGGAAAATTTTTTTGCAAATATTGAAAAAAATAAAAAAATAAAAAAACTTATCATGTTCAAATTATTGATTAATTATGATAAATACACTATTATATAATGTGCAAGTAATAATATATAAAAAAAACCTTGCACATACAAAAATAAAAACTCCAAAGAGGCATATTACAGATCAAATGGGCACCTAAAATAGATTAAAAGAATATCTAAAAAAAATCAAGATTAATATGATAATTAACTTGAATAATAGCCAAAAAAAGCAAAAAATAGAGAAAAAAAAAAGAAAGCAAGAAATAAAAAACGTGTAACACGAAAAAAATAATAAATTAAAATTGATAGTCATTCACATACTTTTACCTTTGAAAATCATGAGTGCTACTGCCTTCTCCTGCATTTTTTAGACCTAATTTGCTCTTGACATCATCTACCGCTGCCATTTACAATTTATTCACTATTGAGATTAAATATTAATCTTGGATGCATCTCAATTACTCTTATTTATTTTTGCATGATTTGTTTATTTAGCTCCTAATCTTTAATCATCTAGTGAAAATGCACATTTTTTATCAAGATAACAAAGATTTGTATAATTTTAATTTAACATATGTATACATTTTAAAATTGAGATAAGATATTTTTTATTTTAAATCATAAAAAAAACATGAAAAAAGTTGGTAAACCACAATTACTCAACCACAAACTCTAATTAATTCAAGTTTATAAGGCTACTTTTATATTAAATTTATAAAACTATTGATTTAGATTGTGTATGATTTTGACGGTGCATGAGTATGAATTATATAGTTTCCAAGATTTAGTGATTTAATTTTAAAAGCTATATTTGAATTTTGAAATATATAAGTAAGTGTGAGTTATGAAATTTGTTTTATCTTACTTAAATTTAAGATAACATATATATATATATATATATATATATCGAAAGATTTGGATAAATCTAACTTTGAAATTTTAAAATTTTAAAAATTAAATACTTAATTGAATAAAATTATTTGATAAATAATTAAAATTTAAAAAATTATCCTATTTATCATTTAGATGGAGTGTACATGTAAGCCTTAAGAAAATTTATCTAGTTGTATATTTGAAATTACCCTATATTATTAAAATAGATTATATATATATAAGATTATCCCTTAAGCAGATCTTATCATATAATTTTGTATGTTGTAATATAAACAAGTTATAGTTTTACAGGAATTCACCTTCTAAGAAAAATGGATGAACCATTTAGATTAAATTTTCAGTTCAATGAAATTAAAATTTTGAAATTATAATATATTATAGTGTTTTTCCAATCTTTTAAAAAATGGTCTTAATCTAACTTTGGTGATTAAAAATTGCAGGACATATAACACAAAAGTTTTAAAATTACCCAACCATATAACGAAAAGAAACTTAAGAATATATATATATATATATATATATATATATTATGAAACAAATCTTAAAATCAATTTTAACTTGATAAGAGAAATTGAAAAAAAAAAAAAGGAGTTTTAGTCAGTACTCGGTAAAAACAAAAGCAACAGAGGTATGATAATGTTGAAGCCTTGATGTCTTGTTGGTAAATTTGTTTAAGGGTTGGATTATTCGTTTAAATTCGAAGATTCGTCCAAATTTTAATAAGGTTTCGACAAGAAATTAAAGCTTATTAAATGGCTTAAAAAATAATTTTTAAGTTCGTTTAAATTTTAAGTCGGATTTTGAACAAAAAAATTAAAATCCAAGTGCGTAACCTTATTAAATTATATATAATTAAAATATTATAATTATATAAATATATATATGAATTTTTATTTTTATTTTTTATTTTTTTAAAAAAATTTTAATTTTTATTATAAATTAAATTCAATAGGTGGGTTTGAAATTTATTTATTTTTAATTTAGATTGGTCTTGAAAAAAATTTTAAATCCAAAATATCAAGTTGGATCAAACTCAAATAAACATATAAGTTATTAATAGCCCCGACCCACGCACAACTCTAGTTGGAATCAATTTGTGTTTTCTTTAAGTTTACATGATTATTACTTATATTTATGACAAGTGTTTTGATTTTAAAGGTTTATAAATAATAATTTATGAGTACAATAAATAAAATAAATAAATAAATAAATAAATAAATAATGTGATTTTAACTTCTCTTAAACGATGATATATAAAATTAAATTATAAAAATAAATAAAATTAACTAACAATATTCATTTAGAAAATCAATTTAAATTTATTTAATATATACCTAATATACTATTATTTTTATTCGTAGTCTCTATATCATACACAGCAAAAAACGCAATCATCTTCTACTCTTTCATTGTTTCTGTTGTTTGTAACTTATCATTATTTAACAGATGAATCGCTGTTAAAAAAAAATTAAAAAAATTCATTGAATCTCCAAAGGCTTACGAAGGGGAAGTTTCTTTCATTAATCCAAAATTATTTAAACCTTTTCATCTTCCTTTTCCATTAATCTTTGGTTTCAATTTCATAATTTCTTTCAAAATCAACAATGCTTCATCCCTCATATTTAAATTCTATCTAAAAACAAATCGATTCACAAACAGAAAAAAAATGCACGTTGAGATTAGTTTGCCCTCGTTGACGCCTTCGACAATGCCTTGTACATATCAAAGGTTTATAAAATTTTTGAGGGCCTGGCCTTAACTACGATCCGCCATTGGTTTCAACTATATAAAGCAAGTTCAAACCTTGCCTGTCAATAGCTTGAATTTTTTAAATATTAAAAGAACAAAAATATTTTATACCAATTTCTATTGGTTTAAAATTTCTTTTTTAAATCAAATAAAGTCAGTTCGTATAATAAAACGTGTAAGATGCGAAATTTCACCAACAAAAATTTTTACTATAATTTTATAATAAATTATTATAATAAAGAATTATGTCAAAATTTGTTATTTAAAGGTATAAGTTTTACATAATTTTTTTTATAAATCTTACGTAATATCAAATTATAATTGATTAATTGCATTATAATAATTACAAATGATATCCTGCCTCGAAATTCATAAAAAATAATGGAGTTGGTAAGGAAATGAGTTTTTAATTTTGTGCAAGCACCAAAATTTATTCTGCAGAAACCTGCTATATATATATATATATATCTATATATATATATATTCTCCCCCAAAGGATCAGTCCCAATCTGAAGCAATATTGGAGAATTGCCTGTCCGAAAGGAAAGACTAAACGTGAGATTCCTGCAGTTTTTTGCATTCCTGAAAAGATAATGGGATTCCATGCCAAAGTCCACAAGATGAGACACCTTCAATCTTTATCGTTATGTGCAATGGGCCACTTTGAACAATTTTCACTCAAGCTGTAACTTTGTAAGACCTTGCTTTGATGTTGGATTTCTGCAGTTAGCCACGAAGACAAATGGGATTGTATCAAATTTCTATACTATTTACAGGTCAATAAAGTCAAACCATTGAACAGAAGACTTGGCGATAGTTGGGATTTTGATATTAAGTGTTGATTTTCTTGCTTCTTGCTGTTTGAACTCTATTTGCTGCTTGTTACTTTGTGGAAGTTTTTTCTGCTTTATTTTGATGTTGAAATAAATATTTTCAATTATTCCAAAAAAAAAGAAGATTTCTTTGATTTGAGATTGGATATCAAACCTGGGCAAATCTGCTCTGCAAGTATTCCAAAGCCAGATTTCTTTAATCTCATGTAACAATGTATCATATGCAGAAGCCCCCAATTGATATAGGAGTTTTTTTTTTTTTTTTTTGTACACAAGAGTTCACAATTTGGAGATAGAGGAAATGATTGCAAGTTTTAAGATTTGAAGTTTAAATTAATATCATTTTTTAAAAATAATTGTATAAATTAATTGAATTAAATTCGAAATTTAATATAATAAAAAATTTTACCATATGGATTATTTGGTAAAATCTTAATTTACTCAAAATTTGCAGCATTAACAGCATAGGTAACAAAAATGATAAAACCCTTTCAGGTTTCAATATGAGGACTTCTATTTGCACTCAATTTCTTTTCAATACACTCCAAAAATTATATTATAAATTTAACCTTTAATAAAATTATTTTGAATACTCACTAGTTAAATATTATTTTTTGTCTTTCTTATTTTTTCGAAAATAAATTTTTAAAAACTTTTTAAAGGTTTTTAAAAATAGGTGTTTGGAAGTTTTTAAAAACTTTCGAAAATTTTTTTTTAAAAATTTCGAGTCATACTTAAACATTTTAACATGAAATCTTACAAAATTAAACACTAAATCAAACTAAAAAATAGAAAGAATAAACTCTTAACTTTTCATTTTATGCTTTTTAACTTCAAATGGATAAAATTTTCTTTTGAATTTAGCTTGATTGGACTTAAAATCCTTTAAAATTTTCGGTTGGGAAGAAGGAGAAGGGATGGGTTGTGAGAAAAAGGGAGATCAAATGTTTGTGTTTTTTGGTAAATTTATATTTTGAATGTAGAGTGCATTGAATAAATTATTAATTGTTAAAAGTAAGGGTACATTGAGTAATTATTGGGTGCAAATGGTAACACCCTTTCAGTATAACAATTTCGAAGATCAATGACCGCATCAAAGAAAATCCTGTAATGTGGATTGAGGAAGCCGATTAAAAATTGCATCACCTCATTTGTCGGATTGTTGCAATTATTATTGTCTTGCCCCATATGTTAGAGTACCATGTTTCTAGTCTTACTTTATTTTTTTTTTCTTAATGTCACGGATGGTTTTTAATTATAATAAAATATTTAATGTGATATTTTAATTTAAAATTTTTTTAATATGATTAATATGGTACTCACTTTTAATAATATTAGTTCTAAAAGACGATGCATGACAGATGAATAGCCTTCGTATATTCATATACGACATTAAAGATTTTTAAAATTTAAATATCATATAAAATATTTTATTATAAATCAAGATTATTTAATAACATTTTTTTTCTTCCCTGTTGTGTTTCTGGTCTCTACACATCACATGTTTTTCCTGTTTGCTTTGTTTTACACTCGGATTGTATCGTTTTTCCTGTCTTGGATCCAAAAGAAGCAACAATTCCAATTCCAAAGAGTTAAATCTTACATCAAGTAGCACCCCTCCTCCTGCACATGCAAACATAAAATAAGAAAGTGTAGACACCTAATTTGATCCAGGCCCAGAGTAATTAGGCCTAGTCCAAATGGGCAAGATAGACCCACATTATTTTATTTTATTTTATTTATTATTATTATTATTAGCATTATTATTATTATTATTGTTTATTATTTATTATTATTATCATTATTTATTTTTTATTATTATTTTTTATTTTATTATTTTATCTTTTCTTTTCTTGATTAATTAGGAGATAATAATTGAAATGGAAATGAATTTCTGCCGTAAATAAGGGCAGCAGAGAATCATGGGTGGATTAAACCATGTATTGGATAAATTTAAAGGGTAAAAATCTAATCAGAAAGGGAATCTGGATTGATTAGAGACTCTAAGATTGAATCCTTATAAATACACACAAATCAGAAACACAAAGGGGAGGACACAAAAACAGAGATGAATCAGAAAGCTAAAAATTAGAAGGCAAAGTCTAGAAATATTCTAGGAGTGGTTAGAAGCAATTTAGAAATTTTAGGAATTTTTGGAGAATTTTTGGCTTTTTTTTTTTTGAAAAAATTTTGAAAATTTTTCAGAATTTGATGAAATTTTTCAGCAAGATTTAAGTTTTTCGACGAGTATTCTGGCCAACTTTAAAGTTTTCGACGGGTTTTCTAGGTTCTGACAGAACTTCAACTGGAATTTGGGTTCTATTTAGAGAGAATGGAGAGAAAAAGGAGGAGGAAAGAGAGAGGGGAACGAAGTAATCTGCTTAAAGGTTGAGTTCAGAGCCTTTTATACCCTGCTAAAACGACGTCGTTTTGGCGTTAAAAATCCCAGAGGATCTGCAGGTTTCTGTTTGGTTCAACCCGACCTGATCGCAACTCGATTCGCTGACCCACGTTCCAGCCAACCATCCCAATCGAGCCGAGCTGATTGCCCTGAGCCGTTTCAGATTTTTTTGGTATTTTCTTATTTATTTTATTTAAGCATTTTATTTATTTGTTTTTTTTAGTTTTTTTATTATTAAATTAAAATAATAAATAATAAATAATAAAAATTTGTGAATAAATATTAATTATCCAATGATGAAAATAAAATTTCTATAAATTTTCTAGGTGAAAAATTTGTCTAAATTTATCCCAAATGGTGGAATAGTTTAGATAAAATTTCAATAACAATAATTAATATTTATTTTCAAACCAAAAAATTAAAAACATAAAAAGCATAAAAATATAAAAATTTTTGGAATTAAATACAAATTACCCAAGGATGAGATTTTTAGAAATTTCAAATGGTAAATTCCTAAGAAATCTCTAGGTGAGAAATTTTCTCTAAATTTGGCTCAAATGGTGGAATGGTTTAGATAAAATTTCAATGCAAATAATTGTATTTTTTTCTCTAAATAAAAATTTGGATTGAAAATATTTGATAATTATCTAAGGATGAGATTTTTAGAAATTTCAAATGGTAAATTTCTAAAAAATCTCTAGATGAGAAATCTTCTCTAAATTTGGCCCAGATTATGGAATAATTTAGATGAAAATTTTTAATAAAAGTAATTGTCATATTATTTTCTTTCCAAAGAAAAAATAAAAAGAATTTCTAAATAGGCTTAAATGGTGAAAAATTTTAGAAATTCAAAAAAAAAATATTTCTAATTTGGCCCAAATGGTGGAATAATTAGATATATTTTCGACTAATAGTAATTAACCTTTTTTCGACAATGGAACCTCTTCAAGGAAATAAATGGAATTCTTGAATACTCTTGAGGTAAGGAAATATTTTTTAAAGAGTTCTACCAGATTGATGGAGAATCTTAAAAATTGTTTCCAATATTTAACTTAAAATTTGAAACCATTAGACTCAATACGTTAGGATAAATTTAAAATAATATGGTATCATTCTTCGGATGGGCATGTGAGGGTGCTATAACATTCCCTATATGTAACTAACTCCTAAATCTTGTTCTGGTTAGTAGACCTGAACCTATTCTTTTAGGGACCCTTAAGCTTAGATGTTCCTTAAAATGATAGATTCCTTAGGTGACCAATCACACATAGTAGAAAAGATTGGTGGCGACTCAATTCATTTGATAAATCTAGCCATATATTTTTGAATCTATATGTTATGACAGTTTGGCAACTCCACTAGGGACGCTAGAGAGTCAAGCCATAATTTTTGAATTTATCATATCCTTTGAACTAATGGTTTTAAGTTATTTGTTTACTAACGTTTTTCTTTTTTTGTTTTTTATTTGATTTATGGGGTCGATAACCATATGTTCCTTTACACACACTATCACATTACATGAGTTTTATGCCCGAGCTTCGTCCCTCTTAGGAAGGAGTAAAGTACCTACACTCTCGTAAGATGACAATTTTCGCAATGGCTAGTAAAATACTCTTACTCAAATTGAATCATTTTCATTGATAGCCTGTGATGTGTGGGGATTGGAATGCCTTACTAGTTTGTGATGGACAATGGCATAAGGAATGAGAACCTTTTAGTGGTCAAAATCGCCTAACCCTGCATATAGTTTACCCCTAAGAAACCAACTTAAGATAGAGCCCTTCCTATCCATCAATAGATATAACCCAAAATTAAGACACAAGAAGGAACAGTTTGTTATCTAACCATTTTGTTTACTTGATTTTATGCATCTATACCATCTTCATGTCATTTCATTCTATGCATCATTTTCATGATCATGTTTAACACTAACATTTGCATCATTCTCATATAGGAAATATTTGCCATATATCAATTATTGATAAATCAGATTTCACACTTACATCATGGAAAGCCAAATGCAACCAAAGTTTACATCAGTCTATTATGAGTCTACTCATCAATTAAAAATCAAGTCAGAGGAAGGTCAACGAAAACAAAGAGATTGCTTGCCTAAGAATTTTATTTCATCATTACCCGAAAGAGTTCATCTTGAGCTATAGTAAAATGATCTATCCAACCTAAGCAGTGTTTAGGGATGCATGAGTAGAATAAGACAAGAGGCATTTGAGAATAGATATGGAGACATAGCCTCACTATTTCAGGTGAAAGTGGACAATAATTTGATTAGGGCCATCATTTAATTTTGAGATCCTTCTTATAGATGTTTCATTTTCAATGAACTAGACATGGTGAGTATATAGTCCTATTTCACTTTGATCTACCAAACCCAGACAAGATTTACTGGTCCAATAAGGTGGGCTATCATAAAAAGCTAGTGCAAATGCTTGGATTTAGCTTACCTCAAGTCGATGTATGTGTCAAGA